GCTATTTTTTGGTTGCAGCCATCCTTGTTGTTTGGTGGGTCCGGGCTGGGGATTCGAACCCGCCACCTTAGGTGTATGTGGCTGGTGCCTTAGCCGGTTGAGCTATAGGCACCGAGCCCCAACTTCAGAGTATATTAATTATGAAACCACCTGTTATCCTATGTAATAGGTTGGTGATAAGAACATTTCTGTTTTTAAGTCCTTCATTTTTACTCGTACATTGGCTTGAAATTTCATAGATCTTGTAAATAAAATAATGCACCTTTCATTGTATATTGGATCAATTCAACCTCAGCAGATAAAATACTGTGGATTTCACGTCTAATACTAGAACACAGCTTTCACGCCACAGGACAATATCGCAAAGCATCTACACACCCCTCATCTCCTTTTCTCTGACCACCATCACCATGTACTTTGTTAATACACACACATTTTTAAACAAAAGAAGAGTGGTGACTGCGAAATGGAAGACCAGCTTATGAATTTTTTTTTTTTTTGGTAGAGACAGAGTCTTACTATGTCATCTTGGGTAGAGTGCTGTGCCATCACAGCTCACAGCAACCTCCAGCTCTTGGACTTAGGTGATTCTCTTGCCTCAGCCTCCCAAGTAGCTGAGACTACAGGCACCCACCACAACGTCCTGCTATTTTTGGGGGCAGTTTGGCCGGGGCCGGGTTTGAACCCACCACCCTTGGTATATGGGGCTGGTGCCCTACCACTGAGCGACAGGCACCGCCACTGCTTATGAATTTTTATTCATAATTACTCCAGTTACAATGATACATTTCCATGGAGATATCATATATATCTATACATAGGCACGTATCTGTGTTAATATATAATTCACACACCCGTTCACCCATTCAAAGTACATAGGATTCAGTGGATTTTAGTACACATGCCAAGTCATGCAATCACCACGGTAGAACACATTCATTCGAACACATTCGAAAGAAACCTCAGGTCCTCCACCGTCGCTCCCCGTTCCCCCCAACACATCCCAGCTCTAGCCAACCACTCTATAGATGTGCCTAACTGGGCAGTTCATAGAAGTGAAATTACACAATTCTTACTGTATATTCGTGATCAGCTTCTTTCATTCAATATAATAATAAAAAAATATCATCCGGGCTGTAGCATGAGTTGGTAATTCATTTCTTTTTGTTGCCAAATAATATTCCTTGGCATAGACGTACCACTTTTTATGTATCCATTCGTCCGATGATGAGTGTTTGGGATCATTTCTACTTCCTAGCTATACTCTGAGCAATGCTGCTATGAACTCTCATGTTCAAAGTTTTGTGTGTGCTTGTTTTGGATACAGATACACCTACAGGTGGAATTACTTGTCAAATGGTAATGCCACGTATGAGCTTTTGAGAAAGTGTCAAACTGACTTCCAAAGAGGCTGAACCATTTTACTTCTCACTACCAGTATACAAAGATTCCAAAACTATAGAGATAGTTTTTAGTAATTTTTTTTCTCAGTTTTTGGCCAGGAGTGGGTTTGAAGAAACCACCTCCGGCATATGGGGCCGGCGTCCTACTCCTTTGAGCCACAGGTGCCACCCTCTGTTTGGTAATTTTTTTAAAGGTTGTAGTGCGGGCAAGTTAAGGTTGATAAGATGTTGAAATAATTAACATTGAGATGGTTCTGAAGCCTGAGAAAGGGATGATCTTTCCAAGCAGAGATAGGAAGACAAACTGGATAATTTGGAT